GGAAGCACGTGTCATTCTTGTCTGGCTGAAGACAAACTTCAGTTCTGCTCCATTTGAAAATCACCAGCTGTTCAGCCCAGGGACCCATCTATCTCCTACTTCAAATTTTCCTTGAGATGTGAACCCCAAGAAATCTTTACTGGGGTAATGAGGGACAGATGGTCAGTCTTCTGTAACTTCTTTAATGCTGACACAGGACTCGCAGGCCCTCCCTAGTTGGGGTCATGCAGCTCTCGCCCTGTTCTATTAAGGGGCCCCGGGGTGACTTTTGTGCTTATTACGCTGGATCTGTTTGGAGGAGTGGCTGTAATCTCTTTGGGGGCCTGGGTTTTCTCTGCACATCATCTTAATCGTGATGTAAATCTGTGTCATCTGATAAGGGTCTTTCTGTCTGGGTTGGAGACAGTCCTTTGAGTTGTCTTTTCAGAATGTATAATCCTCTGGTTGCAGGTCACCGGGCACCTTAGCTAACCGGGGCCTGTCACCCTGCATTCTCAGGGTTTCCTCTGGGTTCACCACAGGGAGTGGTTGGAGTGGCTGCAGCTGAATGAAGCCCAGGTGGCAGGCATCCCTCTTTCTCAGGCCCGCTGACTCACACTGAAGGGTTGCAATCGCTGATTCCATGTCTCAGGCCTTTCCCTCTTCATCATGAATGACCATTATCCTCCAGGTCCTGCTTTGGAGTCATTTATAAGTGATTCACCGCTGCCGCCTCCTTCTTCCACCACCCCTCATTACCATCCCCTACTCTCTACCCCATCCAGTTTCCCGTCAGACGCGCTCTCAGGCACTGCCAACTCTACATCCTCTTGTATTAGTTTTATTTGTAATTTTTTGAGGAACTTCCATGCTGTTTTCCATAGTAGCTACATCAATTTACATTCCCACCAACAGTGTACTAGAGTTCCCTTTCTTCATATCCTTGCCAGCATTTATTATTTGTTATCTTTTGATGATAGCTATTCTGATAGGTGTGAGGTGATAGCTCATTGTGGTTTTGATTTGCATTTCCTGATAATTAGTGATGCTGAGCATCCTTTTATGTGTCTGTTGACCATCTATATGTCTTCTTTGGAAAAAATGTCTATTCAGGTCTTCTGCCCATTTTTAATTGTTTTTTTTTTTGATATTCAGTTGTATGAGCTCTTTATATATTTTGGATATCAGCCCCTTATCAAATGATACCATTTGTAAATATCTCCTCCCATTTAGTAGGTTGTCTTTTCATCTTGTTGATGGTTTCTTTCACTGTGCAAAAGCTCTTAAGTCTAAGTAGATCCCATTTATTTATTTTTGCTTTTGTTTCCATTGCTTTAAGAGATAGATCTAAAAAAATATTTATGTCAAATTGTTTTACCTATATTTTCTTCTAGGAGTTTTATGGCTTCCAGTTTTATATTTAGGTTTTTAATTCATTTTGAGTTTATTTTTGTACATGGTGTGAGAAGTTGTTCTAATTTAATTCTTTTATGCAGAGCTGTGCTGTTTTTCCAATACCAGTTATTGAAGATACTGTCTTTTCTCCAACATGTATTTTTCCTTCTTTGCTATAGATTAACTGACCATAAGTACATGGGTTTATTTCTGGGCTCTCTATTCTGTTCCATTGATCTATGTGTCTGCTTTTGTGCCAGAACCATACTTTTTTGATTACTGTAGCTTTGTAGTATAGTCTGATGTAAGGGAGTGTGATGCCTCTAGTTTTTTTCTTTTTTCTCAAGATTGCTTTGGCTATTTGGTGTCTTTTGTGGTTCCATACACGTTTTAAGATTATTTTTTCTAGTTCTGTGAAAAATGTCATGGGTATTTTGATACTGATTGCATTAAATGTATAGATCACTTTGGGCAGTATGGATAGTTTAACAACGTTAGTACTTCTAGTCCATGAACACAGGATATCTTTCCATTTATTTGTATCATCATTAATCTCCTTCATTAATGTCTTATAGTTTTCAGAGTATAAATTTTTTCCTCCTTGGTGAAATTTATATTTATGTATTTCTAATGCAAAATCACCTTGCATTACAGGGATAAATTCAACTTGATCAGCTCTGTATTCTCTTTCTAGATACGATTAGATTATTTAAGATGGTTTTACCTATTTTCTTGAGTGGATTGACTTGCAATTTTCTTTTTTTTTAAACTTCTTATTTTGTGTTGGGGTATAGTCAATCAACAATGTTGTGAGTTTCAGGTGAACAGCTAAGGAACTCAGCCATACAGAAACAGTATCCATTCTCCCCCAAACTCCCCTTCCATCCAGCTGCCATTGTTCTTGTTTGGCTTTCTATCATGACTAGGGGGAGGGCATTTTTCTTTCTTTATTTTTTAATTTCTAGAAGAGTTTGTATAAGATTGGAGATATCTGTATCTCCTTTCTCTAGTCACTGAAGGGAGAAAAGGACATAGTCCATACCTGATCTGTTAATGGCCAAAGAGAAATAAAAGGAGCTTCTCTCTCACAGATTCAGTCTGAGAACCCACTGCGAGGGACTCGTAGATTATTGGCCTGGAGAACTATGATTGCCTTACCTGGGTTATGGTCCACTCTGTGACTAGGAAAGTAGAGGTGTTACTAGAGAAAGGGGATGCAGGGGATGCTGGGCAGAGCAAGAACAGACTCCACAGGTATCACAGCCATCAGTTCCTTTAACAAATATTTACTGCTAATCTAGGAGATACTTACAGAGTGGGGTACATAAATAAGTAATATAAATTTGTAATGCCAAGGCTTAAAGCTTAAGATTTAATGCAGATAAAAAAATCAAATAGTTTACAGTTCAGGTGAGAAGACAAAATTATCACACAATAGAAAGAAAGAAAGCGAAAGTCACTCAGTCGTGTTCGACTCTTTGCGACCCCATGGACTATACAGTCCCCGGAATTCTCCAGGCCAGGATACTGGAGTGGGTAGCCTTTCCCTTCTCCAGGGGATCTTCCCAACACAGGGATTGAACCCAGGTCTCCTGCATTGCAGGTGGATTCTTTATCAGCTGAGCCACAAGAGAAGCCCAAGAACACTGGAGTGGGTAGCCTATCCCTTCTCCAGGTGGTCTTCCTGACCCAGGAATCGAACTGGGGTCTCCTGCATACAGGCACAATCTTTATCAGCTGAGCTACTAGGGAAGCACAATAAAGCAATGGTAAATAATTCTATATGGTATATAATTAAGTGCTAACTTGTATTGTGCAGACCACAAGCTATGTGGTTGTTCTAAGAAGAGGAAAATCAATATAGTAGTCATGAACCTGCTGCTGCTGCTAATTGGCTTCAGTCGTGTCTGACTCTGTGTGACCCCATGGATGGCAGCCCACCAGGCTCCCCCGTCCCTGGGATTCTCCAGGCAAGAATTAGGCCTTAAAGGATGAAGAGGATTTGGCTGGAAGAGGATAGGGGGAGGAATTCAGAGGAAAGAAGAGGAAATTCAGAGGCTAAGATTACTACAAGTGGAGGGATATAAACAGGATAGTCAGTGAGGAGACTGGCTTGAGAAAAGCAGGGGGTGTATAGTAGGTAAGATATCATATACCACAGAGCAAGGCTGGTTACCCTCCTTCCCCAACTGGCACAATGTCAGAGGTCCATGATGCTGGAAGGACCCACATGGGCCAGAATTTGATGGGAAACACACCCTTAGCTACCAACTCCCTGACCCAATTAGGGTGTGAAGTGAAGAGTGAGGTTATTTTTGTGGTACCAGGAAGAGATCAATGGTATCAGAACAGTGAGCACCTCCAGGTGTGTATAACCTTGGAGAAAGCTAATATAACTAGAAAGAACTGCTGGAGGGTGAATTTAACTTGAGTTTTGGATAAGTTAAAATCAGTTAAAAATCTTAAATCCCATAATTTGAGAATCTCTATTTGACCTTCTGACAAAAATCTTTTCATAATTTCCAATGCGTCAGCATTAAATCCAAATGTCTCAGAATGGGTACATGGCATATATGGCCTTTCTTCATCTGACCTTTGCCTACTTCTAGAGCCTTACTCCTGCCTCTGTCCAATAGGCTCCTGACATGGAAGCATGTGTTTATCTCTGAAAGATGATTTATCTTGCTTTCTCATGCCCCTGTTCTCCTTTTTGAGTTTCTCTTTCCTCTCCCTCTGCTTGGTTAATTCCTACTTGTATTTTAAAACTCAGTTTAAATATTTTCTCTTCTGAGAAGTGTAGGATCTGGTGCCAGCAGTGACTGGTAGGGGTAGGCAGTCTAGGATCATCAGGACTGGAAAGCTAGTGATTGAGAACCCGTTCTGGGGAGGCAGGAGGTAGGCAGGACACATACGAACCGAGAATATAATCCCCTGGCATATGTTCCATTGTTCTGTCAAACTTCACTTACAAAGCACAAATTCAAAGATAAAATTATCAATAATTTTAAGACAGTTACCCAAAAGCATTAAATTCTAAGCATAGGGCCTTTTTGAATGCAGGGCCTCTTATGACTGGTCACAGGCCCAATGAAGCCAGCCCTGCATGTAAATCTCTTCATACAGCAAAATGTAATAAACCAGATTATTCACAAATAAGCAATTAAACAAACAAACTATGGTCCAACCAGAAAGCAAAAAACATGTATCCAGTAAAAAATGAAGCATGTCTACAGATACTAACATAGACAGCTGTATAACACACAAAGAGGGTTACAGAGTATTATGTATGTCATAATCCCATTAAAATATAAAGTATTTCTATCTATCTATCTATTTATTAGAACATTACAAAGGATAACCCAAACTCTTGAGGAGGAAGGAATTTTTACTTTCTTTACCTATAATCTTTCAGATTTTACATTAATATATATTGCTTCTAAAATTAAAAATAAGATTTAAAAAATTAAACTCTACTACCTAGAAACACTTTTCTGACCACAGTGAAATCTGTTGGCTTTATTTCATTTAAGACTATAAAAAGACGGTGGAAAATAATCTTCCTCAGGTGTAAAAGACTACTCATTAAAATTCTTACCATTCTTTTAACCTTTTCATTTAATCCTTACCCTCATTGCTGGGCTCTTCAACAGGGGATGCTGAGTTCATACATTCTAGGGCTCCCTTTGTGATCTCAACCACCTGAAGCTTCCTGATCCTGACTAGGTCTGTATCTTTCAATCCTTCCTCCAACTGTTTGACCACCTCTTTTCCAGGCTGTGAAGTCAGAATGGTAATCTGGAAATAAATCAAAGAATCATTGTGTCTACTTTCGCTGATGTACAGAGTGAAGAATGTAACAGGTTAGATCTAGAGGATAAACATTGAAGAAATTGGTAGTAGTATCTTAGGGCAAAGAAGAGGATTTAATTATAACTTGCAAATCAAGTTTTATTTGACAGATTCTGGTGGGAGAGCTCTGGTGGGATAGATCATCACAGCACCCTTCCAAACAAACTGAATCTATCCCAGAAAGTGACTAGTGAGAAGCCATCCTTGTTTCAGGTTTTTTTTTTTGGCCATGCCACAGCATGTAGGATATTAATTCCCCAGCCAGAGACTGAATCCACACCACCTGCATTGGGAGCATGGAGTCTCAACAACTGGACTGCCAGGGAAGTCCCCCACTGTGTTTCAACTTTTACGATTCCTTGAATCACAGGCAGTATCCCTCTTGCTCAAAGTGCTTTGATTTCATGAAGAAACAAAGGAAACAGAATCCTTAAATTCCACTTGTTAGATGGATACTAAATATCAGAGAGTTTATATGCTCTTTTCTCAGTGGTACTTCCATTGGATGTCTCTCCTTGCTCAATCTGAATCCAGGCTGAACATTACACTCTGGAAGGCAAGTATTAAATATATGCAATTTTCTTTTGTACTTAGACATTTTGATTGGTGAATAAGCATGCGGATGAAAGATAATTATTTTTAAACTCATTTGTTTGATGACTGATGTTACAGAGACTGAATGTATTTTAGCTCACTCACACACCCAATGGAGTACCTAATCATGACCTTCAATGTGAATGAAAGAGAACAAGAGAAGGATGGCAAATAATGAAGGATTTAGATGGACTTAAAATGGGAAGAAGGCTTAGTGTCCTAAGGCCAGCATCTCTTACCTCCAGGGAACTGTAGGTCAGAGCTGCACCTGTGCTTGCGTGTCTGCTGTACTGTTTGAACTGCTGGAGCCCATCCTGTATTGCCAGCTGCAGAGAAATGCCTTGTGGTCTGAAACAACCTTCTCTTTGCAGTATGCGGAGTTCTGAGATGCAGGCCTTCAGCCTAGCAAAGTTCCCTTTCACTTGCTGCAGAGAAAAAGGAATCAAGGGTGCAAATCTTTAGTGAACCATGTTACAGATTAATTTGCAGTCTAATTTATCATTAATTATTCCTTAAGAGTATTTTTCCCTTCCTGAAAATCCATTTATTTGACCAAGACCTACGGAATGCATATTCCATTCTAGGCACTGCACTAAAACCTTCCCTAGACCAAAGGAAGGAAAATTTGCAGCCAAAAGGCATTGATTATATGGAGTTACTAGAAACAAGAAATGTGTTTTAACTCATTCACTCACCCAAAGGAAGGTACAGTTGTGACTGCTCAGTTTTACTGCAAATTGGAGGCCTAGCAGTGTCACTCTTAAATTCTCAGTCAGTCAAGGAACTGGGAGGCATTCTATTCAAGAGTGGTATTTTACCAGAAATGAGGATTTTGATGTGGTTAATCATTTAAAACTGGTAAGTCACTCAGTTGTGTCCGACTCTTTGCAACCCCATGGACTGCAGCACATCAGGCCTCCCTGTTCACCACCAACTCCTGGAGTTGACTCAAATTCATGTCCATTAGGTCGGTGATGCCATCCAACCATCTCATCCTCTGTTGTCCCCTTCTCCTCCTGCCTTCAATCTTTCCCAGTATCAGGGTCTTTTCAAATGAGTTAGCACTTCAGATCAGGTGGCCAAAGTATTGGAGTTTCAGCTTCAACATCAGTCCTTCCAATGAATATTGAGGACTGATTTCCTTTAGGATGGACTGGTTGGATCTCCTTGCAGTCCAAGGGACTCTCAAGAGTCTTCTCCAACACCACAGTTCAAAATCATCAATTCTTCGGCTCTCAGCTTTCTTTATTTTTTTATTTATTTTTATTAGTTGGAGACTAATTACTTTACAATATTGTAGTGGTTTCTGCCATACATTGACATGAATCAGCCATGGATTTACATGTGTTCCCCATCCTGATCCCCCCTCCCGCCTCCCTCCCCATCCGATCCCCCTGGGTCTTCCCAGTGCACCAGCCTTGAGCACTTGTCTCATGCATCCAACCTGGGCTGGTGATCTGTTTCACCCTTGATAGTATACTTGTTTCAATGCTATTCTCTCAGAACATCCCACCCTCGCCTTCTCCCACAGAGTCCAAAAGTCTGTTCTGTACATCTGTGTCTCTTTTTCTATTTTGCATGTAGGGTTATCGTTACCATCTTTTAAAATTCCATATATATGCATTAGTATACTGTATTGGTCTTTATCTTTCTGGCTTACTTCACTCTGTATAATGGGCTCCAGTTCCATCCATCTCATTAGAACTGATTCAAATGAATTCTTTTTAATGGCTGAGTAATATTCCATTGTGTATATGTCCCACAGCTTCCTTATCCATTCGTCTGCTGATGGACATCTAGGTTGCTTCCATGTCCTGGCAATTATAAACAGTTCTGCGATGAACACTGGGATGCATGTGTTTTTTTCAGATCTGGTTTCCTTGGTGTGTATGCCCAGGAGTGGGATTGCTGGGTCATATGGCAGTTCTACTTCCAGTTTTTTAGGAATCTCCACACTGTTCTCCATAGTGGCTGTACTAGTTTGCATTCCCATCAACAGTGTAAGAGGGTTCCCTTTTCTCCACACTCTCTCCAGCACTTATTGCTTGTAGACTTTTGGATAGCAGCCATCCTGACTGGCGTGTAATGGTACCTCATTGAGGTTTTGATTTGCATTTCTCTGATAATGAGTGATGTTGAGCATCTTTTCATGTGTTTGTTAGCCATCTGTATGTCTTCTTTGGAGAAATGTCTGTTTATTTCTTTGGCCCATTTTTTGATTGGGTCATTTATTTTTCTGGGATTGAGCTGCAGGAGTTGCTTGTATATTTTTGAGATTAATCCTTTGTCTGTTGCTTTGTTTGCTATTATTTTCTCCCATTCTGAAGGCTGTCTTTTCACCTTGCTTATAGTTTCCTTTGTTGTGCAAAAGCTTTTAAGTTTAATTAGGTCCCATTTGTTTGTTTTTGTTTTTATTTCCAATATTCTGGGAGGTGGGTCATAGAGGATCCTGCTGTGATTTATGTTGAAGAGTGTTTTGCCTATGTTCTCCTCTAGGGGTTTTATAGTTTCTGGTTTTACATTTAGACCTTTAATCCACTTTGAGTTTATTTTTGTGTATAGTGTTAGAAAGTGTTCTAGTTTCATTCTTTTACAAGTGGTTGACCAGTTTTCCCAGTACCACTTGTTAAAGAGTTTGTCTTTTTTCCATTGTATATCCTTGCCTCCTTTTTCAAGATAAGGTGTCCATAGGTACGTGGATTTGTCTCTGGGCTTTCTATTTTGTTCCATTGATCTATATTTCTGTCTTTGTGCCAGTACCATACTGTCTTGATGACTGTGGCTTTGTAGTAGAGTCTGAAGTCAGGCAGGTTGATTACTCCAGTTCCATTCTTCTTTCTCAAGATTGCTTTGGCTATTCGAGGTTTTTTGTATTTCCATACAAATTGTGAAATTATTTGTTCTAGTTCTGTGAAAAATACCATTGGTAGCTTGATAGGGATTGCATTGAATCTATAGATTGCTTTGGGTAGTATAGTCATTTTCACAATATTGATTCTTCCAATCCATGAACACGGTATATTCCTCCATCTATTTGTGTCCTCTTTGATTACTTTCATCAGTGTTTTATAGTTTTCTATATATAGGTCTTTCATTTCTTTAGGTAGATATACTCCTAAGTATTTTATTCTTTTTGTTGCAATGGTGAATGGTATTGTTTCCTTGATTTCTCTTTCTGTTTTCTCATTGTTAGTGTATAGGAATGCAAGGGATTTCTGTGTGTTAATTTTATATCCTGCAACTTTCCTATATTCATTGATTAGCTCTAGTAATTTTCTGGTAGAGTCTTTAGGGTTTTTTATGTAGAGGATCATGTCGTCTGCAAACAGTGAGAGTTTTACTTCTTCTTTTCCTATCTGGATTCCTTTTATTTCTTTTTCTGCTCTGATTGCTGTGTGGCCAACACTTCCAAAACTATGTTTAATAGTAGTGGTGAGAGTGGGCACCCTTGTCTTGTTCCTGACTTTAAGGGAAATGCTTTCAATTTTTCACTATTGAGAATAATGTTTGCTGTGGGTTTGTCATATGTGACAAACCCTCAGCTTTCTTTATAGTCCAATTCTCACATCCATACATGACTATTGGAAAAACAATAGCCTTAACTAGACGGACCTTTGTTGGCAAAGTAATGTCTCTGCTTTTTAATATGCTTTCTAGGTTGGTCATAACTTTTCTTCCAAGGAGTAAAGTGAAGTTAAGTCACTCAGTCGTGTCTGACTCTTTGCGACCCCATGGACAGTACCCTGCACCAGGCTCCTCCGTCCATGGGATTTTCTAGGCAAGAGTACTGGAGTGGGTTGCCATTTCCTTCTCCAGGGAATCTTCCCGACCCAAGGATCGAACACAGGTCTCCCGCATTGCAGACAGACGCTTTACCGTCTGAGCCACCGTAAGCGTATTTTAATTTCATGGCTGCAGTCACCATCTGGAGTGATTTTGGAGCCCCCCAAAATAAAGTCTGCCACTGTTTTCACTGTTTCCCCATATATTTGCCATGAAGTGATGGGACTAGATGCCATGATCTTTGTCTTCTGAATGTTGAGCCTTACGTCAAGTTTTTCACTCCCCTTTTTCATTTTCATCAAGAGGCTCTTTAGTTCTTCTTGACTTTCTGCCATAAGGGTGGTGTCATCTGCATATCTGAGGTTATTGCTATTTCTCCCAGCAATCTTGATTCCAGCTAGTGCTTCATCCAGCACAAAGTTTCTCATGATGTACTCTGCATATAAGTTAAATAAGCACAGTGACAATATACAGCCTTGACATACTCCTTTTCCTATTTGGAACCAGTCTGTTGTTCCATGTCCAGTTCTAACTGTTGCTTCCTGACCTGCATACAGGCTTCTCAAGAGGCAGGTCAGGTGGTCTGGTATGCCCATCTCTTTCAGAATTTTCCACAGTTTATTGTAATCCACACAGTCAAAGGCTCTGGCATAGTCAATAAAGCAGAAATAGATGTCTTTTTGGAACTCTCTTGCTTTTTCGATGATCCAGTAGATGTTGGCAATTTGATCTCTGGTTCCTCTTGCCTTTTCTAAAACCAGCTTGAACATCTGGAAGTTCACGGTTCACATATTGCTGAAGCCTGGCTTGGAGAATTTTGAGCATTACTTTACTAGCATGTGAGATGAGTGCGATTGTGCAGTAGTTTGAGTATTCTTTGGCATTGCCTTTCCTAGGGATTGGAATGAAAACTGACCTTTTCCAATAAGGTCCTACCTAATAGGCCCCTTAGGGTCACTTCCGTAAAGAAAAGATGCTTGGCTTAGTCTGCAATCAGGTCAAGGAGTCAACTTGTAACAGTCCTGACTGTCCTCACTCTCCTTCACAAAATCTTGTTCTCAGGAAGTAGTTTAATCTAATATGATTCTAGATAAACATTACATCTCCTAAGAATATATACGTTTTGAAGAAATGTGGAATTAAAATTTGTGACACTATTTGAAGGAATGCCAAGCATCAATAGCAGGTGGGGGTGGGGGGGGAGAAATTATATTTGGGATGAAGAAACTTTCCTGATCAAAGAGCAGAATTGAGCAATATTTGCAAAACACGCATAAAATTCATGAGCATGTTACTTTGCTTACTTGCGCCTCTTCATGAATCTCTGAGGAAAACAGAAGAAATAGGATATAATTTTTACACAAAGAGAACTTGTAATCTAGATAGGAAGATAAGAAACCTACTCAAGAAAGAAATGAGAACAAGCTTTTAAGTATTTCTTTTCATGTACTCCCTAAAAGAATATGAAAAATGATATATTCTATTATATATTATGTTGACATCTAGATTTCAAAATTCTAAGTGTAAGTAGTTGTTAAGGATATATAACTTCCAGTATATTTAAATATCAATATTTAAAAATAACACTATAACACCACTCTTATTAATCTAAATATTAATATCATAGGAATTTGATACTCTC